GTCCTCTTTTGGAAGACCAAACAAAGTAGTTTCGCTTTCACAACGAAACACACAGCGTCTTCACAACAATGCTACAGCGAGAATAAAAGTTACGCCTTCTTTCTTTGCGTGAACATTTGGGCGGCATTATGCTAATATTTCCACATAGTGACGTAGACATGTGGGGGCGTGTTAGAACGAGCCATTTTAGGTAGGTGTGGCTGACTTAACTTTTATAAAGAATATCTCTTTGGATTTGAGACTTTAGTGTTTGCAACTTTACAGATCTTCTTTATGCACCAAGAGCTTGTAACACTCCAAAGAGAAAGGAACAATTGAAATCGCATCATATGACCTTTTTAAATATCTTTGCAGAAAAGATGCATTAACTACAACTACATCTTGTGCAAATTTGTCTTATACATATTATATGTTCAGAAATAATACAAGAAAATGCTTTTAAAAAATGTCTAAAGTCAAGGTAATTCAAAATGACTGAAGGTATAACAGCTGTAGACTATTATTAACTATAAATGTTCTGTAAAACAACAGCAGCTTTCAGTCTGTCACCGTGATGCAAACATGAAATATCAGACATACAGTAGTAGTTACAGGTTTTTTATTCGCTTGCGCTGCTTTTCCATAGTTTTTTCTGTGTAAACATGGACGCGTTTGACTGCTGCGCTAGCATCTCTTGCAGCGTCTCATGCATGAAACAGCTTTCATAAACACGCCGCTCAAGTTAAAAGAAGCTCACTCTCATCTTCTTGCATGTTTTTACTATTCCACTGCCCGCGTCGCATCTTTATCAACACAAAAGCGGAAGACCCTACTCAATGCATGTTTTATTGGACTGTCCCGCTTTTAATGTATGTAGAAAACTCTTTTATGAAATGAACTCACTTGAGTTATTTAGTATAATTTTGCCAGAAAAGTTTTAGAATTTTGATCACACGTTAATGTAAAAAATCTTGTGTAATATAACTTGTGTTTGTTTGCTTGCTGGTTTTTATTGTATTTGTTATACTTGAATTGTTTTTGCAATGAAAATAGCCTAAGATGCTGACATGGCATTAAATAAAAAATATACTACTACTACTCAGCACAACACAAAACAAAAGTGCATTCTGTTATCACCGGCATTTTGTAAAAGTGTCTAATTTGTGTCACGATTAAAATCGCGATTCCTCGATTTCTAAAAAATAAAACTCGAATTAATGGATAAAATCGGAAACATCGCACAGCCTTTATTGGAATGCTTGGGAAAGATCACGTAACATTAGAACCGCCTTCTGTCTGTGCCGCCTTCATTTACTTACTAGTTTTCATCACTTTCGCTTTAATTCTTGGGGACGGACTCATTTGCTAGCCGACCATCGGCTTTACCATGCGAAAGCCCATTTCTCTGACTCTGTCCTGTGCAGTTTTGGTAACTGGTAAAGCGAGTTACGTAATCAGATTACTTTTTTCAAGTAACTAGTAAAGTAACTCATTACTTTTTAATTTACAAGAAAATATCTGAGTTACTTTTTCAAATAAGTAACTCCAGTTACTTTGTTTCCCATTTATTGATTGAAAGCTCTCCTGTCCCCATGTTGAGAGAAATCGGGAGTAAGATGTTACTTTAGTTCTAGAATAAATGTGAACATGCTTTAATTCATCTCACTCACTCACAAAACAAAACAGATTTAGTTTTCTTCAAAATTAATAAAAACAGTTAAAAGCAACTCAGAATATGTCACAAAGCTGCAATAATTAAATGTTAAATAATACAAATATCCTTTATGTATTCAATCCCATTTTATTAACCAATTTGCTGCTGACCTTCGATGATCCAATTCAACCGTACTAAGCAAAAATTACACATGATAAACTAACATTTCTTCTTCTTTTTTATTGCAGAAGAGTGTTGAACTTTCTTCTTCTGTGTATACTGTACAGACGTTGAATTTACATTTCCTTCAGCCTGAGGCTTTTGGTGTGAGAGGGCTTTTACATTTTCCAAAAATCGAACTTTTTTATATTAAAAGCAAACAAGCAAGCCCTGCCCAGATTTAAAAACTAACGCAAAAGTAACGTAACGCATTACTTTCAATAAAAAGTAACTAAGTAACGTGATTAGTTACTTTTTTAGGAAGTAACGCAATATTGTAATGCATTACTTTTAAAAAGTAACTTTCCCCAACACTGCGAATGACAATACAAATTTCAGCAGCTATAGCTATAAATCACAAAAATGAAAAGCAGAATGCACTGCAACTTCCAAAGACACAAACCACATAAACAAATAATGATAAATCACAACTAAATGAAATTACCTGTTGGTTTTAGGACAATGAACAACAAGTAAGACTATAATATTTGAGAAAACGTTGATGACAGTGTAATGGAACATGGGCCGTGAAACGAGGGCATGACATCTCTTTCTTTGCTTCCTGCTTTCTTTTTTTCTTGTTCTTTGCTGGATTGTTGCCAATGCCACTGGCACATTCAGAGGCCGCTATTTTTAAGCTGTTAGTCTACCTCATCTTAAACAGCTAAGAGGGCAATTTCTCCCATCAACAAAACACAGACAAGAAAATCACACTCCCCTCTTGCAGGAAAGAGTCTCTCATTTTCCATTTTGCTGTGTGGTTTGACTGTGTCATCATAATTTCATCTAATGTTGTGGCTGATTTACCATTATTATTATTATTACTACCTTCCAGCATTATTACTGTTGTAGTTACATATGTCTGCAGATAATGACAGTAATTTCAGCTGCTCGCAGTGCTTTTCCTCATTAGTGACACTACACTGGTGTTGTTCAACATGGGAAGTAAAGCACTCGGTCCAAGTCATATAAAAACAGCAATAGTGATGCAAAGAAAAAGATGCTTTATCGGCTGTTGGACGGACAGTCTTTTCTCTGATTTGAGTTCCTAAAGACTAATGTCAGGTATAAAGTCAATTATTAAAAAGAAATATGAATCGAATTCCGATTGTCACTCCTCTGGAATGTATTTCAATGATTGCATGTTTTTGAAAAAAATAAAAAATAAAACAAATATTTGCAGTTAATCCATTTATGCAAGGAATTCTTTTCATGTAATAATTATTTTTCGTTTTACTTTCAAGAAAAGTTTGGTCTTGTGCAGCTATTTGTAGTATAAAAATCCATATGAATTTCAAGATGCACAATATTTTTATTTGCAACGCAAAAAAAAGGTCTCTGATTTAAAGAAAAGAGACATCTTTTATCCCACCACCAGCATCACCAAGTTCTCTATCGAAAGAGATTTACTGAGCATGCAAGCATTCGTTTGATCTTTTGCTGCATGCATAAAAAATGTGAAAAGTTAGATTAACTCTGAAATAGCTCTGTTTTATGTGTGTTTTTCTTTCTCCTGATTATGACCAGCGTTTGACCAGAAAATGTTGATGTGTGCGTGAGTGTGTGTGCGTGAGTGTGTGTGCGCGTGTGTGTGTGTGAGTGTGTGTGTGTGTGCGCGTGTGTGCGTGTGTGTGTGTGTGTGCGCGTGAGTGTGTGTGTGTGCGTGCGTGCGTGTGTGTGTGTGTGTGTGTG